TAAAATTAAAATATGTATATAAATATATATACAATAATATTAATATTATTAATATAGTTTATATATAATTTATTATATATAATATATATATTTATAAAATTAAAATACATATTTTAATAAAAATTTACATACATTTGAGAATATAATTGTATGTAATAATTGTAAATGTATTTCATTATTAATGATTTTTTTATTTATTAACTAAGATTTATAAAATAATAAATAAAAAGATTTATGTATATATCACATTATATACACTAACCTCATTCCCATCAGTCTTATAACAATTTCAATTTTACATTTAACATTGTACAATTAATATTTTAATAATAATATGCATTTTATATGTTCTATATAATTATTTGTTTCATATCTTGAGATCGTCATATTTATTATTTCACTTATCAAATATTTTATAAATATTTATATGATTACTAAACATGTAAATTTAATATTTCTGAATCACGATTTGATTTGATCATGTTTCTAATCGCGGTAATTTTTCATATTGATTTTTGTATGGATTCCAAGTTATTATTCATATTAATAAGGAATTACTATTAATATTAATAAGGAAAACAGAAGTCATTTTATTGTCGTAAAAATTATTTTATCGTTATATCGGAAATTACACATTCATTGTTTATTATTAATTCTAATTTTTGCATTGAATTTAAAATTTTCTTTTCAATATTCCTAGATTATAAATATTCCTAGTGAAACGTTTATAACTATACAGATTGGCGCTACTGTATTATCTCCTTTTCATTATTTTATTTTGTTTCCAGTATGAAACAAAATATATTTTTTATATTTCTATAATTTATTTATTCTATATTTACATTAATGCTATATTTCATATTCTGAATACAATATAATAACATCTATCTAATATTTATGATTTGAATTAATATCTTTACTTTTTTTTTCTATTATATATGATGTGTATTTAATTGTTACATATTATGTGTATTTAATGTTTTCAATACTATTATTGCTTATAGCGTTGCTTTCTGTTATTATACAATATACTATTCTGTTTATACTTATATTAAGTTATATAATAAATCCGTTCATCTTTTAAAAAAAATTAAATAATACCAATTTTTTATGAAATTTATCTAATCAATGATATATTTGTTCAATGACCATTTTGCTATCTTTTTAATAATAAAAAATAAATTTTATATTTTTTTTAGTATAAAATTCATCTTTTTTTGTACTAAAAAATTTAAATAGATGAAACAAAACGTTAAATAGATGAAAAGCGTTCCATTAAAACTAAAAACTAAACAATTTTTTTGTCATGAGTATGGTCATATGTTATCATGATGAAAAAAAATATTTTTTCATAATATGAGTGTTATTAGTTTCTCGTATTGCTTTTTAATAATATGAAAGCTTATTATCGAACAAATATCGATATTGTTAATTAGTTATAGTGGAAAGTGCAATAACTTGTATGCAGATATATCATAAATGTATTCCTAAAAAATATTGTTTTAATAATTTTCCATATATAATATATACGTATTCTGTATATTTGCACAATATATTTCGAAAATATATACATAAACTCTTTTATAAACTTTAATGATTATTCTTTGTTAAATTAATATATTCGTGAAATATCTTTGAAAAATCGAAGTCAAAAACTAAATAAACACAAAATTGATATACAAAAATATGGATTGAGACTTATTCATTCAATTATAAGCAAATAGAAATTTGCATAGACAAAGATAAAACTCTATCTCTGTCTTACAATATCATTTTGCTCTATCTTGCTTCGTCTAATGTAAATTTAAATTGCTTATAACCAAATTTGGATATTATTTAAATAAATTATTTGAAAAGTTAAAATAACATATTATTTTATTTGGCTATATGTTATTTTAAATAATCATATGTTAGTTTATTTAAATATACAAATTTTTTTTAGATTATTTCTTTATTATTTATTTGAAATAATTTTATTTTTCATTTTATCAAATATTTTTTTAAATAAAATCTTAAATCAATTTTCTAATTCTCTCATATCAATTGCATCAAGAAATATAGATTTCCAGATATGTAATATTTTATATATATAAATTAAAAACATATTGAAAGATAAATATTTTTATTTAATTAATTAATTCAGTTCAATATTTTATGTTAAATTATTTGTTATTTTATTTTAGTGAAATATTTTGCAAAAATTTATTTGAATAATGTTTAAAATAAAATTACTTTTTATGTGAATTACTGAAAATTACTTTCATTTACTTAAAAAAAAAAAAAAAAATAAAACATTTGAAATAATTCATTATCTTATTTGAAATAAAATATAAGCTATTCTGTTTATAAATGAATTTTCAATCGAAATTTTTATATATTAACTTTTGTTTTTGTTTTGATCTCTCTCAATTAACACTCCAAATATGTCCTTCAAATATATTATTCTGTATAATTCAGTTCTATTAACATTTATTAATTAAAACTATTAATCATAATTTTCTATTATTAACTTTAATAATAATTTTCTAATAGTTAGATTATTTTTGAATGAAAATTCTTAGTTTTTTAATAATATTTAATTTTTATTAGAAATAAAGTATTTTTACAAAAATTCGAATTTTCCAAAAACTAAAGAATAGCAAATAAAAAAACTATGTATGAATTATTTTGTAAATATAGCAAATATAATGAAACATTTCAATTTGTTAAACAGTATAAACAGTATAAATAATATTTTATTAATATGTCATACTCTTAATTGAATAGATTTTAAATTATACTTAAAATACTTTATATTTTTTTTTACATTTAATAAAGAAAGAAAGATATTAATATATATATATAAATTTTTTATTTAACTTTTGAATTTTTGACTTACTTTACAAATACTTCATAACTATGGACACAATGTACCAGGCAACATATAACTGAAAAAAACAGTTATTAAACTAATTAAAATTAATATAAATAATAATTTTATAATTGTTAAACCAAAATTTTCTATATTCCATATTAACACATTATTAAAAATATTATTTTTATATTATTTATCTTATAGAAGATGTCATTTAATTAATAAAAAGTATAATCTCATTGAATTTTATATAATTGTAACATTAATTTAATTAATAAAAAGTATAATCTCATTGAATTTTATATAATTGTAACATTAATAATTAATGAAATTCATTTTATGAATTCATTTTATAAATTCAGAACTATTTAGTTAAAATATATTAATTAATTAAAATATTTTTATATGTTGTTCTAAGTTAATTATCTATAATCTAAGTTAATAAAGTTAATTTTTTCATATTGATTTGAAAAATAGTATTTAATAATTTTATTAATTTGACTAATTATATCTTTATATATTTAATTGCCAATTATGTAATAAATCATAGATGAAATTATAGAAAAGATTATTAAAATAATTGACACTTATATTTAATTATTATTAATTCTATTAAAGTAAAATTTAATAAAAATGTTGAATTTAATAATATAATCCAAAGAAAGAGTTTAAATGTTAATTTGAATAAAATAAAAGTGCCTTAAATATTGTCTTTTTTATATAATTATTTTGTATAAGTATTGCAAGTTTTATATGAATTACATAAAATATTTCAATACTTTCTATAATTTTTCTTGATTCATAAATTTTTACCAATAATAATAAAAAGATTATTAATTTAGAAATTACAGTGGATAATCAAATTATTTGACATTTTAAAATTATGGTAATTACAAAATTTCTGTAACCAGTATAAAATAAATGAAATTTTTTTTATATTTTTATTTTTCTTATTCAATATATCATAATCATTTTAAGTTTACATTTAAAGTTTACAATTTGATAAATTTGCACAAAATTAGCAAACTGATTTAAAACTTATTTTTAAATTTAAAATAAATTATTGAAATAAAATTATTGAAATAATATAATTAAATAATAATATATCTTTTTTATGTTTAATAACAAATTATATAATCAATATTTTATACTTTTGGTTACATTTACAAGTTTAAAATATAAAAATATAAAATTCAATTTTTTATTTAATGATTTTTTAATTATTTATATTAAATAATATTATATAATATTATATATATAATATTATATTAAATAATAGTAATAATTTTAAAAATAGATGATTATTCTAAACATTAAATACAATTATTATTTATATAATTTAATTCCATTATTAAATCAAAATAATAATTATTTAACAAATATCTAAATAATAATTATTAATAAACAATAATTCTATAATATATAATTCAAAAATAATTATTTATAAAATTCAATCTAACTATATAATATTGATGCAGTAATCAAATATTATTTTAAGACCCATCATTTGTACGATCACTTCTATTTTTGATCAAAGTTTTAAATTCAAGTGATTTTGAAATGTTTATAATTTGATCACCCATTGTAAAATGGACTCTTCAAAAATGTACATTAAGATCCTATATATATAAAAAATATCATAAAAATATTCTATATATTATGCATCGCATGTATAAAACATAATATAATATTTGATGGTTCAAGTAATCTAATCGGAATTTCATATTTATTACATATATATTATAACTAACGATAACTATTATTTGAATCTCTAATTTCCAAGTTGCAAAATATAAAAAATATCATAAAAATATTCTATATATTATGCATCGCATGTATAAAACATAATATAATATTTGATGGTTCAAGTAATCTAATCGGAATTTCATATTTATTACATATATATTATAACTAACGATAACTATTATTTGAATCTCTAATTTCCAAGTTGCAAAATATAAAAAATATCATAAAAATATTCTATATATTATGCATCACATGTATAAAACATAATATAATATTTGATGGTTCAAGTAATCTAATCGGAATTTCATATTTAT